ACATGCACTCGACATCATTACAAACATATACATATATGCTTATAACTACAAAGTGATTTACGAATCATTTCTTTACTCCGAGTTTTATTTTCATTGGCACTTCATCAATACATAAACGGTAAATCCACTCCTCGTTGTTACAAACATACCCATATATGTTTATAACAACTAAATGATTTACACTTCATTGCATTATTCCGAGTATTATTTTCATTGGTACTCCACCAATACATAAACGGTAAATCCATTCCTCGTTGTTACAAACATACCCATATATGTTTATAACAACTAAGTGATTTACGCTTCATTACGTCATCCATATCAGAAAATCCACACATTTTCTACCACAGTGCATAAGTTAAAGACTTATCCTTACCTCGGTGAGTGTTGGGTTTGGGTTCTTGGCAACTCCTCAAGTTCCACCGACACCGCCTCCAACTTTAGGATCTTTCCTCTTCTCAAGCTCTTGAACAAGAGTCAAAGCTCCTAGACCTTGAGAATGCTCTCTTCTCTCACCTCTCTTCAATTCTTAACATAAAAATGTATTTGGGGTTTCTCTCATTTAATGCTCTCGTCGGGTTCTCGCTTAAGCAAGCTTATTCTCGCTCAAGCGAGAAAATCCCGCCCATTTTAAAAACTCAGATCTGACCTTCTCGCCCAAGCGAGGGATTCTCGCTCAAGCGAGAATCTCACACTCTCAACAATCCCAAAATGCCATTTCTCGCCCAGGCGAGACAACTCTCGCTCAAGCGAGAATCCTCCAGTATAGCCCAGGATTTCACCCTCCCAGGTGAACCTCTCTCGCCCAAGCGAGGATCCCAGGACTGATACTATAATTTTAAATACTTAAAATTTAGGGTGTTACAATTTCCCTATAATTGATGGCTAAGATGTGGAGTAAGTTTAGAAAACTCACTCTTGGAGTAAGTGGATCTCATCCCTTAAGAATTATACCTACCATATTCCTTGCATGAATGCCAACCAAGCTTGTGTCACATCCTACATCTACATCAATGCTCGTTCTACAGGACGAATGTTCGTTTGACACCTTGCACATGTGTCACTTAGTGCCCATGTTACACACATTTCATATATACCACTATTAGTGTTATACACTCTACTAATGTGTGTATGCTATTGTGGATCTGTTAGCAATAAGGTATCTTTTTCCATGACATTGCAGGTATATCATTAGAACACACAATCTCTTATCTCATAAAAGATCATCCTCTCCAACAACGAGTGAGATATTTCTAGCACTGTCTCAAACCAGATGCTCCACTTGGCTAAATATCTAGCTTCACCTGCTTATCGAGACACTCCCTTTTTATATTGCCCGACATGTTTGAACCTAAAGCATTATGTTTTGCGTCTGCCCTTGGATTCCGATCGTTTCCCCTTGTGGAATTCACTCCCCACACGCCCTCCCAGGCACATGACCCCCTTTCACGTCCAGACTTTTTCCCTAATACAATTTCACTACATTTTTTAAGGTGAGACAAAAGTGCAGGTGTGATATAATCCAAATTTGTCACTAAGTGTTTGTAAGAAGTAGCAAAGAGCACAACAAAAGTATTACATTATCTTCATCATCAACCTTCACATCAAGCTTGTTTAGATAATTTATTAATTGATTGAAAGTGTTATCATGTTATTGCAAATCAGAACACCCTACCTCTTTAGGCTATATAATCTCTTCTTCGAATATATCTTATTTGCTTAAGACTTGGGCATGTATTAATTCTCCGATTTCTACCATACCTCAATCAAAGATGTTAGATCTATGACTTGATACATCATCTTGTCTGATACAAAAAGTCTATCTTTCCTTCGAATATATATTTGAATTTGTAAACATAAAATCTTTTGATGATTATGTACGAGAGCCAACCAAGAAAATGACCATTGGATCATTTTCATTGGATCAAGACAGAGAATGAGACACCATCCAGGACATGTGATATTTGTCCTGTACACGCCTTCTATCAATTTGGATCAATACGCACATGAACTAAGAGTCTAGGGAGGATATTTCATGTTTTGAAAGTTTGTGGGGTAAATCACACAAGGGGTAAATTTTACAAAAGTAAGTTTTTTCCTATTTTTCATGGGAGAGATCCACTTACTATAAAAATAAGTTTTTTAAACTTACTTCAAATCTTAGCCATCAATTTTAGATAAATTCAATAATTTTGATGGATAAGATGTAGAATAAATTTAAAAAACTTACTCTGAGAGTAAGTAGATGTCTTCTCATTTTTATTAAATTGTATAAAAAACATAAAATAAGGAAAGTGAAGTTTTAAGGAAATATTTTTTTTTTCAATTTTACAACAATAAATTTTATGCGCATAATAATAAAGTTATTTGATTTTTGTTACTCAAATAATAAAAGTCAATAGTATTATACATTTGAAATACACTACGCGTAATTTCTCGTATATTTCGTCTCTTTCTTCCTTATCACATCTCAATCAGATTTTTTCATGGCTCTTCCTTACTAAAATGTTGGTGCAGGTTTAACACTATCCCTTTTTCTTCAATACTTTAGAAAACTAATCTTTATTAGCAATTAATGTTTAAGAAATTAGATTCAATTTTTTTTGGAGATTAGGTTAACCATTGAGTCATCCCAAATTATTTTGATATCTCGCATTTCTTTTATAATTAGACATGAGTAATAAGGTTATTGACTTCATCAACCATCTTTTTCATAAAATAATAATATATTAATATTGAAATAATTTATTTTAACATATATTTATATATAATATAATCCAAAAGGTTACTTTTTTAAATCAATTGCAATATAAAATTAGTATAACTAGATTGTGTGAAATAGCTTTATAAGAATATTGGATTCGTTTGGGCTGTTAAATATGTCCTATTTGGCCATGCTCAAACCTAAAACGTAGACATATAGTCTTCTATCGTATAATTTCAAGAAAAACTCAAATCTTAAAACTAAAAAAACGTTGTTTTAGGAATATAAAACTTTACTGAATTTTCATGCATCTTATTATTTAGGTTAAAATTTTAATTTCTGAAAATAACACTTATTTAGATGAGTAATCACACACTGGAAAAATATTAATATTATGTGAAAGATACTTTGGAAATAAAAACATTGATGATGACAATAATTTTAAACTCTAAAAAATGAAATCAAATAATGGTTAGTGCATTTGGTTCGAAATTTTCCTTATACTAAAACGCATCTATTTTGATTTTTTTTATATGCTAACACTTTTTACTTATGTTTCTTAAAAAAAATTCTTTACAAATGTTGTTTATTTGAGAAGTTGTAATTTCTAGACTCTATCAAAATTGTTTCTTAATAAAACCACTATTTATTTGTTTATTTCACAAAAGTATTCTCATTCAGCTCATCGTCCTTATCCGTTCGAGAATGATTTTCTGTCCCAAAAATATTTTATCTCACTGTTCTTATCTAATTGAATTGTACCAAATAATATAAAATAATATATTTTTATTTTATAACTTTTTTTTCTAATTAAATGACTTATTCTAATTGATATGGAATACCATTAGGAATATTAGGAACACCAACGGGAAGAGAAGATTTCCATCCTTATCCCTTGTCTTCGTCCATCATGGCTTATTTGAGTTTTGTTTTATCCATTGCCTGTGTCCATATTACGTGTCAACATGCATGCTTCTTCTATGTGGATTTGGAAAAGAATTTACCATCTCAGATTTTTTTTAATTTCTATTTGCATCATAATCTCCTCTCTTGTTACTATAAAAAACACACTAGTTTCAAAAGGATAAAATTGTTTCTACAAACCACGATTTTCTAAAGTATGACTCATTTTGTCTCTACTGTCTAAGTTAATTAATAAATCTTGCCATTTCTTTTTTGATGTTGAAGATAAATACGATTGTTTTATCACACTGAATATCTACATATAAAGATTAAATGATTATTAAATAATGAAAAGACAATATAAAGATTGAATTTCATGATCGGCATGACACCGAAATCATTTTTTAGAAAAGATTTCAATAATAAAATTTAAAAAAAATATTGGAACAATATAATTTTCCTGTTTTATAACGGAGATAATTGAAATATTTTATTGTATTAGTTTCATATTGTGTATTATTGAAATAGAGTAGAGTAACAAATGTTATATATTGAATTCAAATCTCTTCTTATAATGTGCATCAAACATAAAGACCAAATAGAAACACTCCATGAATATTTGGTCTCATAAGTGTGTTAGAGCTTGTAATCTTTATTCTCTAATAATATTTGGTCTCTTGTTTCTATTAGAATATATGATATTATCTTAGAATATCTTAAGAGAATATATTATATTATGATCATATCTTATGATTTGTTTAGAGTATCTTAGAATATCTCTTAGGATATAGATTAGTTTATTATGATTTGTTTGTTATTTAATTAGGAGTATGATATTAGTATAAATATGAGTTAGTTGTAAGCAATTTGAGACAATCAAATAAACACAATATCATTATTCATACTAATATATAATTTACTATTTTTGAGCATTCTCTTTTCTCCTTCTATACTTTAACCCTATAATTTTAACATGGTATCAGAGCCATGGTATCCGCCTTGAGAAAAGTATAGGCTTGTAATTATAAGTTGGATTCATATGATGTATATGCTCCAACTTGAGGGGGATTGTTTTATATAGAATTTTTGAAGTGGATCACGTCTTTTGTGGTTCAGATCTACCATAATCCAGTTGTGGTTATGGCTTGTCTTATTGTATTGATTAAGGTACTTCGTAACCTGGTTTAATTTTTTTGAAGTGATTCTCTTTCTCTTTGTTTCTCGATCATCACTTATGGATTCACAAAACAATTTTGCTGCGCTACGAAGAAAGTTGAAATTTGCACCAAAAGCTCTACCGCTTAGGAAGCCAAAGCCAGAAGTTAAAACTGAAGTGGTTGATAATGATGATTTAGTCCAGGCTGGGGATTTGTTGCACCTTTTCAATGAGAACTCAATGAAGGCAAGACCCAAGGTTGAGCATCACAAATTGCTTTTGGTGACGGGGTGAAACAACTTCCATCAAATCATATAGTTTTCCCAAGTGTGGAATCAACATCAACGAAAGTCAGAGTTAGAGAAAGAGTACAAAGAACATTGAGATTATTACACTTATTATCCAACAACTCTTCTTGTGAGGAGGAATTTGGGGAGACTGTCGAATCCATAACTTATGATGAAAATTCATCAAATCCAGCAATTAAGTTAAGTCTGTTGGACGAAAATCCAGAGAATAGTATGTTCTTATTCAGTTTCCATTAACTTTACCTATAAGTGATGGTATAAGATTCACTGATACCGCATTCGGGCACTGAAACCGCCTCCAGGCACAGAAACCGCCTCCGGGCACAGAAACCGCCTCTGGGCACTGAAACCGCCTCCGGGCACTAAATTTGCCTTCGGGCCTTGATATTGCCTACAGGCCATGAAATTGTCTTCGGGCCTTGAAATTGCCTTCGGGTATTGAAATTTCCTTCGTGTATTAAATTTCAATGGTGGTTAAGCTTTGAGATAGCTTCTGCCTAGATGGTTAAGTGTTATTATCTTCATATTCTTCAATTTCTTTTTCTGAGAGTTTGAAAAGCTCATCATTGATCAATAAATTTCAAATTTCGTCAACATTTGCAACCATTGAAGTTATGCTTAGGGAAGTTCAAGTAATTATTTTGTTTACTTATATTTTAAAGGGAATATTTGTAACAAGCTAAGCTTAGTAAACTTTAGCTTGAGTGGGAGTGTTAGAATATATGGTATTATCTTAGAATATCTTAAGAGAATATATTATATTATGATCATATCTTATGACTTGTTTAGAGTATCTTAGAATATCTCTTAGGATATAGATTAGTTTATTATGATTTGTTTGTTATTTAATTAGGAGTATGATATTAGTATAAATATGAGTTAGTTGTAAGCAATTTGAGACAATCAAATAAACACAATATCATTATTCATACTAATATATAATTTACTATTTTTGAGCATTCTCTTTTCTCCTTCTATACTTTAACCCTATAATTTTAACATGGTATCAGAGCCATGGTATCCGCCTTGAGAAAAGTATAGGCTTGTAATTATAAGTTGGATTCATATGATGTATATGCTCCAACTTGAGGGGGATTGTTTTATATAGAATTTTTGAAGTGGATCACGTCTTTTGTGGTTCAGATCTACCATAATCCAGTTGTGGTTATGGCTTGTCTTATTGTATTGATTAAGGTACTTCGTAACCTGGTTTAAGTTTTTTGAAGTGATTCTCTTTCTCTTTGTTTCTCGATCATCACTTATGGATTCACAAAATAATTTTGATGCGCTACGAAGAAAGTTGAAATTTGCACCAAAAGCTCTACCGTTTAGGAAGCCAAAGCCAGAAGTTAAAACTGAAGTGGTTGATAATGATGATTTAGTCCAGGCTGGGGATTTGTTGCACCTTTTCAATGAGAACTCAATGAAGGCAAGACCCAAGGTGACGGGGGTGAAACAACTTCCATCAAATCATATAGTTTTCTCAAGTGTGGAAGCAACATCAACGAAAGTCAGAGTTAGAGAAAGAGTACAAAGAACATTGAGATTATTACACTTATTATCCAACAACTCTTCCTGTGAGGAGGAATTTGGGGAGACTGTCGAATCCATAACTTATGATGAAAATTCATCAAATCCAGCAATGAAGTTAAGTCTGTTGGAGGAAAATCCAGAGAATAGTATGTTCTTATTCAGTTTCCATTAACTTTACCTATAAGTGATGATATAAGATTCACTGATACCGCCTCCGGGCACTGAAACCGCCTTCGGGCACTGAAACCGCCTCCGGGCACTGAAACCGCCTCCGGGCACAGAAACCGCCTCCGGGCATAGAAACCGCCTCCGGGCACTGAATTTGCCTTCGGGCCTTGATATTGCCTACACGCCTTGATATTGCCTACGGGCCTTGAAATTGTCTTCGAGCCTTGAAATTGCCTTCGGGTATTGAAATTTCCTTCGGGTATTAAATTTCCATGGTGGTTAAGCTTTGAGATAGCTTCTGCCTAGATGGTTAAGTGTTATTATCTTCATATTCTTCAATTTCTTTTTCTGAGAGCTTGAAAAGCTCATCATTGATCAATAAATTTCAATTTTCGTCAACATTTGCAACCATTTGAAGTTATGCCTAGGGAAGTTCAAGTAATTATTTTGTTTACTTATATTTTAAAGGGAATATTTGTAACAAGCTAAGCTTAGTAAGCTTTAGCTTGAGCGGGAGTGTTAGAATATATGGTATTATCTTAGAATATCTTAAGAGAATATATCATATTATGATCATATCTTATGATTTGTTTAGAGTATCTTAGAATATCTCTTAGGATATAGATTAGTTTATTATGATTTGTTTGTTATTTAATTAGGAGTATGATATTAGTATAAATATGAGTTAGTTGTAAGCAATTTGAGACAATCAAATAAACACAATATCATTATTCATACTACTATATAATTTATTATTTTTGAGCATTATCTTTTCTCATTCTATACTTTAACCCTATAATTTCAACAGTTTCTTCTCTTCTATGTATTCTATGCACTTTATTTGATTGTTTGTAGCAAACGTTGTGCAACGATCCCTTTCCCTGCACTAACAATTTGTATAAGAGTCAATTGACGTCCAGGCGCCAAATTATGCCTAAAGAAAGTGAACTCATGTTGGTTAGACAAGATCAGTTAAAGATACTATGCGAAAATAAATAAGATTAGTTGAAGGACCTAGGAAACATGGTGGGACCATGATGGGGAACACAATTGTGTACTTATGTTGCATCCAAAACCCTAGTCTATGTATTACATTGAGATCAAGGAGGAGATATTGACTCATATGTTGAGTCAAGTGCTCACAATATTTCTCTAGGTGTTGGAGATGGTGATCTCATTTAAGATGAGAAGTGGAATATCCTAGTGGCATGTCTACGACGCCGTAGTGAAAAATATTAATTGTTAGTGGATCCACAAAAGCACAGAGGCGCTTGTTGACTTTGATGCAGGGTGTAACACATGCACTGATAGAAATGTAATGTGTGTGACATGAGCATTGGCTTGGACGCAAATGTGTGACATGGACATTGGTTGACATTGACGCAAAGTGTGTGTTGTTGTGGGTATACTCTTTATGGTGGAGTATGATAGTTCTTTTGAACTATTATTGTCGGACTAGACAATGGTGGTAGCGGTTGAAGCTTTCCAAGGAAGCTTCAAGATTCAGTTTGACTGAGTATTGAAACGGACCATTTTTGGTGAAATTTGTTGTAAAGGTTTCATATATCGAAAGACTTCCTAGCAATAGTTGGCTATGCGGCATGTTCCATTATAAAGTGGTACGTGAAGCTTCACTAAAAGTTAAGAGAGTTAGGCTCTTGGTAACATCGTCAAAGATACTCATAAGGTTCATGCTATTGGGGAGTAGACTCTTATATGGAGGAGTTGTTAAATAAAATTAGACATTGAGCTAGTCTCTTGAGTAGATATCGTGAGAAGCAATATATTCGTCTATTTCAACCAAGGTAGAGATTGTTGTGGATACTTGAAATATGTTTTTATATTCATCTCACATTGTCTATTATTGAATTAGAGTAGAGTAACCAATGTTATATATTAGACTCAAGTCCCTTGTTATAATGTGCATCAAGTAGAAACACCTCATGGACGTTGATCTATGGGTGTGCTAGAACTTGTAATCTTTACTCTCTAATAATATATTGGTAGATGTTCAACATTACCCAAGATGTAGATACAATTGGCTAAATCTCATTACCAAATTCACTTGTTTTTCTCTTTTATTTATTCTATACACTTTACTTAAATTCTTGTGAGCAATGCTCTGCAACAATAACTTCCATTGTTGTAATAGAAACTAATATATTACTCGTGCATTCACAAGGGTAGTAATGCGTGTTGCATGATTTTAAATGCACCGTAACGCAGAATTAAATGCACAGTAACAAATATTTTATACCTTACGATTTTAACTTCATTAAATGAAAGTAACAAACTTTATATAGTATTTGGTGAACTAAACATTTATTAATACTAACTATGTTCCAAATGTTTAATGGGAAACACCCGTACTAATAACATGAACAACATCTCTTCATTATAATAACATTGATAGTGAATTAAAAAGAAACAATTTAACACAATCACGTAGAATTTGACATGTAAGTATATGATCCGTTTTGGTTTCTCTCCTAATTGTATTCACACTTACTCTTGAATTAAGTCCATAATCATAATATCAACTCAGGAGCAGAATTTGTTGTGGAGGGGGTTGTTTCCACTTGCACTAAGTGAATTTCTCCTCTGTATGTATTACCACTAAATCTATATCTATATATAATAGGCACAAGAGAACGTTGTTTTAGAGCATATCAACCGAAATTTGCTATTGACAGAAATACTTAAAATACTTAATTTTAAATTATATCCACACTTTTTCTATCTAAAAACAATAAACAAAATCTTAAAAACAGATTAAAATATTAATTAATTCTAATTAAAATATAGTCTTAAATAATAATAAAATGAGTAAATTACAATCACACCCCTGAGTTTTAATGAAATTACACAAATCACTTCTCCCTTCTTTGTCCTTACACCAACCACCCCTCACTCCTACACGAACCACTCATAGTTTTATACATATATTACACTGACTACCCTGCATGTTATAAAAGTGTAATATTTTAAACAAAAAACGTATGATGAATGTAATTAAGTTAAACAAAAATATTGTATATTGTGTAACACTTCAAATAGTACAAAAGTCAGTATTTCGTTATTATTTTTGTGTCATTATAAATTATATTAATAATTTTAAAGAAATGTTTAAATAACTCTTATATTATTTTATAACGAGCCAAATAATGAAGACGTGTTGACTCTTATATTATTTGAATTTGTCTACATAATATACAATATTTTGTTTAATTAATTACACACGTCACACGTTTTTGTTAAAAATATTACACTTTTATATCATGCAGGAGTAGTCAGCGTAACATAGGTACAAAATTATGGATGATTCGTGTAAGGACAAAAAAATGAGGGGTGGTTTATATAATTTTACTAAAATTCAGGGAGTGTGAGTATAATTAACTCTAATAAAAAATCATAAATACATAAAATAATATATTGAATACAAGAAAATTAGAACTACAAACTAATTTAAAAGTGAAACTAAAATTTTCCATCTTCTTTGCATTCCCCTACAGCCCTGAATGACGAAATTAGAGGTACCATTAATAATAGCTATGAAAGGACACCCAGGCAGTGGAAAAAGCACCTTAGCTCATTCCATTGCTTCATCCCTTCAAATCCCTCTCTTAGACAAAGATGACATCAAAAATTGCATCATTCCTCTCCAACTAACCTCACCCTCTACTCTCCTCAATGACCTATCATATCATTCCATTTGGAACATCGCTTCCACCCAACTCCGCCTCGGCCTCAGCGTCATCCTCGACTCTCCACTCTCCCATAGGTCTCACCTAAACCACCTCATCCGCCTTGCTGCTTCAGCCTCTGTCCGCCTCGTCGTCATCGAGTGCAAACCATCCGATCACGACGAGTGGCGCAGGAGACTGGAGCGTCGTGGTGGAGGAGGTGGACATAAGCCTGCCACGTGGCGAGAGATGGAGAAGCTTCTCGAAGAGTATGGAGGGTGTACGGAGTATGACGTGGGTGATGTGCCAAAAATGGTTGCCGATACAACTGCGTTTTCTTTGGAACAGTTATGTTCTGCTGCTTTGGAGTTCATCTTCAGTTATGCTGCTCCCATCTAAATGTCCACTCACAATTTGTCATTGCTTTTACTTTATGTGTAATATATATATATATATATATATATATATATATATATATATATATATATATATATATATATATATATATATCAATAAATATCGCTCTCAAGAATCGAGATTCTAATATTCTGTATCGGATAAACATGTAATAAAGTAATGATATGATATTATTTTATTTGAGAGAATATATTAGTTTGTTTATGATGGGTTGATCCATTTTTTTTATTTTTATTTTTTATTTTAGCATACTGATTTTATATCGGATAAACATCCCACTATTTTTTTTTTCAATAGTTCATTTTATTTGCTTTTCTATTTTCTGTCCATCAATACCAAAGTTTTGTAAATTTGCATTTCAATTTTTTTTATTTAGCGCAATGTGTGAATACTTGTAGGTTATTGTTTCTATGAATTTTAAATATATTCACTCCAAACTCAAATAAAGGTCAAAGCAGCTAACACATTTAGTAAGAAGGTTAGTTAACATCAATTGATTTCTCTCCTCTTATTTAAAAATAAATCTTATTATAAACATGCATACAGTTGCTGATCCCACAGACAATACATTATCATTCATATGAATTAGTTCTATTTAAGAAAAGGAAAACTCATACTAAATCCTCTTATTTATTGTTATACCTACAAGAAAGTGACATATGTCACTTGTAAAACCAATTACTAATAAATAAAATATCACTTTGTGACATGTCACTTTTTTGTGAGTAGGAGAATTTAGTAAGAGGATATAACATTACTCTTAATAAAAACTTCTACAAAGTCAATATCTTCTCATTAAACATCTAAATGATCTTTAGGAATTATTTTATCCTTTGATTTTCTCAATTTCATGTAGTTTCCCTGGAAAATACAGGAGATTGATAAGTTACTTTATTCCACAAATAGAGTTCAAACAACAGAAGAAATGATCATAGCTAACAA